ACATTAGCTCTTTAAAGAAATGTATTATAACAAAAAATGTACCAGAACAAAAGTTCTTATCCTTAGTCTCTTTATGCAACTTTTATCAAGGGTTATTAATTGGCAACTTATTTATTACTAATTCAATATTCGTTATTAATTCAATATTCTTGGTTTTTACAAAAAAATTGTCTTGAAATATAAAAACAACATGGATTACAACCAGATTGGTATTAATCTTATGAGAGAAGATCAATATAATGGCACTAGTAAAAAATAAGTCCACTCTAAATGAAAATCACATCACACCACCTTAAACTGAACTTTGTTTCATTCATATTTTAACTTTTTCTTCACAGTCTTAAAAGAGTTCAATGTTGAACATTTGATAAATTACACCAAAAATTTTGCAAAAATGATTTCTTAAGGTGGACTTGGTGATGTATTCAAGGGCTGGGTTGTTGGACCCAATGGTGATATAATTCATATGATGGCCATTAAAATGTCACATGATTTATTATAAGAAAGTAGGAAACAATGGTGAGTAAACCACCTCTAAACTAACTACCATTAAGCATTTAGTGTTAATATATTTCATTTGACAAGTATCTAATTAACAGGTAGAAAAATATTACCTATCAATTCTCAGCCATCGCAATATCATCAAACTCATTGGATAAGTAGATAACTAGATGATGTATTTAGTGTATGAGTACATGAAACATGGTTATGTGACCCAAAGGTTGAAATGTGACCTTTTCATCCTTACATCTTAAAAATTAGTTGATGTTAATTCTTTAAAGGATAACATTATTTAATAGTTAAATTTAGTATGTAGTATAACCTAAGAATAGTTGTAATTGAACGTATTCTTAATTAATAGATTGCATATAGTCTTTATTAATAGGTCTTGATTGGACTTAAACTAAGCAAATAGTAATAAACTTAACTCAAGCAATGCAACATCTTCATGAACAAAGTCTAATCTTTCAAGATTTTAAAGCAGTAAACATTTTGCTGGATAAGGTTAGTTTTAGATAGGATAATTGAAAAGCTCACCTTTTAGGTATTTTATGAGTCTAATACATTAAAAATAAGTGTTTTCATGCACAAAATGACAATCAAAAGCTGAATGACTTTGGCATAGTAACAAAAGAGAATGAAACAAAAGCATGCAGGATCTCACAGATATATAAATCTGATAGCAGTTAAAAAAGGTAAGATAACAAAAATCATGTAAATTTGCATTATTTATTAATTTATCAGCATATGTACATGCATATATTGATATTTATTGATATCTTTCTTCATTTTTTGACCCTAGAGTTATAGAATATAAGGTTTAGTTTATTGTTGCTGTTGTTGTATATGTATATGTGGCACTTATTGGTACTTTTCTTCATTTTCTTCATTGATTGATACATTTTAATTTAATTATCAACAATATTGTAAATCTATGGAGTATGCAAGCCACTTCAATGTTAGGGTACTAAAAGAAAGTGCCTGATCCAAAAAAAAAATAAATCCATAGCTAGTATATGAGATAAGGTTCAGAAGAATAGTTATGGGCAAAAGCAAGCATAATCAACAAAAAAGAGAGTTCAAATCTATTTTTATCTTGTAGCAAATAAATTTTTAAAAATAAGTATATCAATTTACAACTATAAAAAATTTTCTCTATAATATGCTATTTAGTCAATGTATGTAGTAAATTAACTATTACATGTGTTATATATATTATACATATAAATTAAATAATATTAAATAAATAGATAAAGTTAATCCTTGCATCACATGTGCATTACTTGGGTCATAGGCTAGTTTAATATAAAGCAAAATACACTAATATACAAGCATAAATTGGATTTTTTTTTCTCATTGCTTTTAAAAATAGGTATTTTGTTTATAGAACTAGGATATCTACATAAATAAATAACTACTAATACAATTAAATTTGTTTGGAAAGCTAATGTTTTACAATTTTCATAATATTGCTAAATCGAATGATAAAAGAGGAAAATCTTTTTTATTTACTTCAAGTAACCTTCACAGAAGTTTCAATTGACTCAATTCCAACCACATTAATAGACTTTTGGATACCATTCCAACTCAAGTTTAAAAAAGTAGTATGTGATAAGGTAACAAGCTTGATTCATAATAACAAAATTAAAACTCAAACTATAATAAAACAATTTACTATCGACTAAAGAATATGCAAGATATGATGAGATATAACCACTTCATAAAGAAATGATTTTTTCCTCAACATGATGTTGTAAGAAATACTATTGACTTTTATGGCATTGTCTTTTATTGATGAGTTCCTATTTTAAATTGCATTTTCTTCTAAAAGCCCCAAACATATGGTGTAGGAAACTGTATTTTGTGCCCGTGGCATATGTTATTGGAAAGGAAACGATGGACATTTCCAAGTATTAGATATATGAGAATTGTGAACCACTACAATTTCACAATTATATTATGCAATTTCACAAAATTATCTAATGTTAGTTTCTCTAAAAAAATGTATTATAATAAAGAAATGTACTATAATAAAGATTATTATCCTTAGTCTCTTTATGCAACCTATAGTAAGAGTTACTAATTGGCAACTTATCTGTTACTAATTCAATATTCTTGGTCCTTGAAAAAAGAAATAATCTTGAAATATGAAAGTAACATAGATTACGAGTAGATTGTTATTAGTCTTATGAGAGAAGATCAAGATAATGACATTGGTAAGAAATAAGTTCACACTAAGTGAATCACGTCACATGATCTTAAACTGAACTTTGTTTTATTCATATTTTAACCTTTTTCATAGTCTCCAAAGAATTCAATGTTGGACATTTGATATATTACACCAAAAACGTCACAAAAATGATTTCTAAATGTGGATTTGGTGAGGCATTTAAGGCTTCTATTGTTGGATCCTATGGTGATATAATTCATATGCTAGCCATTAAAAAGTCTTATAACTTATCACAAGAAAGCATGAAACAGTCGTAGGTAAAACACTTCCAAACTAAATAAAAAATGCTAGTTATACTAATACTTCTCTTATAGCTTTGTAAAAACTTGGGATCAATCTAAACCACTAGTGAAAGTTGTTATTTTTTTTTTCATTTTTGATTGGAAAAAATAAAAATAAAAAAAGCCCTTGAATCTTAACTTGACATATCAATTATATTTAATTAATTGAAAAGAAAGTAGATTGATTTTTGAAAATAATTAAAAAGCTTAGATTTTTTATACTTGATTGGATTTTAAGATTATAGTTTCAATATCTATATTTTTTAGATGCGTTTGGACAAATTTATTTAGATTTAAAAAGAGAGAAGATATTTTTGAGAACTTTTAAATGTATTTCATATTTTTCTCTTTACACTCAAATTTTTTATTATAAAAATATCCCAAATAACATTACAGCTTTTGGCAATTTATCTTTTAACCCTTTTTATTTTTAGCTTTAGGAAATGCATATTTGGAAAGTTTATAGACGGTCTACAAATGCATATCCAAAAAGTTTTATTGTCTTCCAAATATGTATTTTCAAAAAGTAAAAAAAGCTTCGAAAATTAATATCCAAAAAGTACTTTCCATATATAAATTTTTTAGAAATGCAAATTTGGAAGATTTGTAAACTTCAATTTCTAAACCCTAAACATTATAACTAAACCTTAAACCATTTTGTTAAATGCAAAATTGTTAAATTGTTGAATTATTTTGAATGAATTAATTGAATACTTAATATTTTATCACAAACAAGAGATACATGGATGAATTACATGTATCTATTGTATGAAGAAAACATATATGCTTAACATGAACAAATTTAATACCTTGTACAAATATATAAAAAAAATGTTTAATATTTCAGCCACACATAAACTATGCACAAATATATATGCCATACGTACAAAAACTTAAATCTACTAGTCCTCTTCCCTCTTGTTTCTTAAATAAACATGTTAAGGTGGAGATTGAGCTAGCAGTGGAGGTTGAGCTGTCGGAATTGGTGTTGCTGTGGGTGAAAAGTGAATAAGCACTAGCAGTACTACTGCTGAAAGTGGTGTTGAAGATGGTGGTTGTATAAATCGTAGGGATGGGGAGTGAGGCAATGTTGGAGGTCAATGTTAAGGTGATATAGTTGGTCTAGATTAACTACTACTAGTTCCAGTTGATGACTTAGATGATATGGCATATGCTTTAATAACTATTTCCCTTAATACATTGACTTTTTAATCTAATCTATCAGACAAAGCATCATGGGTAACAGACAATGCTGTCAAGCTCGAGTAGAAAATATTAACAAGATAATTAATATCAAAAACAAATTTTAACTAATATTACATTAACAATAAATAATAAAATTAATACTTTCAGTATCACTTATAATTGACTAGTTGAGATTGAAATCTAAATCTACATTCTTGATTTTAAATATGTCAATATAAAATTAATATATACCAAGTATTATAATTTGATGAACACTTGTTCGTTGTCTAATATCGTCACTCTCTACGCTCAACAAATAGGACATACATTTCCTATCTCTTCTAACACTGATTCCAAAAGTTGTAGGCACCATCATACGTGTGTAGGATGAATCTCGATCGACACGAGATTGTTTGTAAGGGGTTGAAAGAATGGTTTGTAAAAAATCAAACTGTCATTGAATTTTCTTCGAATGCGATGGCTTACTTGCACTTCATTTACTCAGAAAAAAAGAAAAAGTAGTGAGTTACCGAGTTAGAGGGAGTGTACTTTTTGTTGAGAAAGATCAGTTCTTTCTCCAAGTGTTACAGTTAAAAGCGAGTTAATGACACTTTAAAATTCTGTCTAAAAATTCTTTAATTATTTTTATTTTAAAAATGAGATATTTAATTATTAAAATTAAAAAGTTACGACTTGATTTGAGGAAACTCTCAAATCACTTTCATAAAAAAAAATTCTGTTATTTCAAATATAAATAATTTAAATTAAAAAGTTGGAGATCAAATTCAGCATGTAAATATATAATTGATTTTCGTTCATTCATTTTTTCTCAGGGTCACGTTACCAACACCGAAAGCTACTACAGTCGTATAAGCGAGCCACCTATTTTTCGAAGTCACATTGAGAAAAGAGTTTCTTTTACTTTTCCTTGTCGTCTTCAATGGAATTAAAAAGCAAAAGCCAAGAATCCCTAAAACCCCAACCTTTCTTAACCCAAAACCCTTAGAAAACCATGAATGACAACGACGATCGGATAGCAATGGAAGGGCAATGTCAGCCTTTAAAAAATCCCGAATCTCTTCAAACTTTAACTTCAGGTCATCTCTCTTCTTCGCTTTCCTCACTTTCTTCCTCTTCTCTAACCCTCCCGTCCAATCAAGACTTTCATTTCTTTAACAATTTCGACGATTTCAAGCTGCCCGTCGATCAAATCGCTAAAACATCGGATTCTTTGCTCGAATCCATCGGCTCATCGGCTAAAATCTGGGGCCACAACAAGGCGATCATTTTCCCTAACAACATTGAAAGTATAGCCCATGTTGAAGCTTATGATTGGCTTGCTAATACCAACGACGAAATCTTGGAAAGAGTCGACGTTTCTATGGACGAATATCAAAAGAGTCGAAAGAAAGAAGAGGAAACGATCGGGTCGGATCCTGACAATAGTGGGTTTCAGTTGGTTTACGGGAAGAAAAAGAAGAAAGTTAATGGTGGGTTAATGAGTGACTCGGTCGGTGACTCAGTGAGCGGGAAGGAAGGTGGGTCTTCCAGTTCTTCTACTGGAGTGAAGGTGAAGAAAGGGGCGTTGGCTGCGGGGACGACGGGTAAAGCTAAGGTGCCATTTCATATACCAACGATACGGAAGCCGCAGGAAGAGTATAGGATACTTGTGAATAATTCCAATCAGCCTTTTGAACATGTTTGGTTGCAGAGGAGTGAGGATGGGCAGCGTTTTGTTCATCCACTGGTTGGTTTTTTCTTGTTAATTCTATCTTTTCTAAAGTTTTTTTTTTTTGTTGGTATTAGTGAATTTTGTACGTCATAGTTGTTTTGTATATGCTTTCATAATATTTATGTTTTTGTTTCGATAACTCATATAGGATATGTTTTAATAATATTTTTGTTTGTTTGGATAGCTTGACGTATATTTAGGAGTTTTGGTGCTTGTCAGCAGGATTAGAAAAGTTTGACACAAATGAAATGCTTTTATTGGCATTACTAGGGCATAGGTTTGATGCTTTTATTCGCTTTTGCGTGGTAATAGTTTTGTATGTTTGCTGGGGCATGAATTTCTGCACAAGAAGTAGCAAGAATGATTAAAATAGTTATTTGAACGTTTTCATAGCTCAGAAATGATACCGATGGAGACAAGAAAGATGAACAAGGAGAATATAATTGTCTTGTAAAGTTTTCCTGAGTTTAGGTACCTTGAATGGCTAAAAAAGAAAAAAGAATTTCAGTAAAAAGATCATTTACGTGTATTATTAATGATGTGCATTACTTTGTAGGAAGGCATTCTTTTAATCAAGGTCAGCTTTCTTAGTTCTTTATTGGTGCATACGTTGATGTTACTAATAGTAAGTAGAATATTGGAAGGTTACAATTGTTTTTGAGAATGTTATTATGTTCTTAAGATCTACCTTATTAACTATTTAGATATGGATGTGATAAAATTTTCAATTTTATTCTTTTTGTTATATCATAGTATCTCACACACATCAAACTGTTTTCAGGAATAGCTTCTAAATAGTTGGCTGTTTTATCACCTGTAAATTTGTGGTGCTTTCCAAAATAGGAGAAAAAAACACTCTTGTTACTCTTTTTTACAGGAGAGGCTCTCTGTTATGGATTTTGTGGATAAAGATGTAGCACATATTGAGCCTGTAAAACCCCCCTCAATTGAGTCTACCTCATTCAAGCTGGTGGAGGAAGTAAAAGATTTGAAGGAGTTAGCGTCTAAATTACGCAGTGTGAACGAATTTGCGGTAAAAATCTGAGAAATTTTAATATGAATTTATATGATAATGCTTGTTCTGCTGTAAATGCATGGTCCATAAGATATAGAACGAAGTGTGTGCCTGGTCTGAAGAAAGGTTATGTATCTCTAGGATCAGGGCTACCAGTTTGACTGGACTTTGTATGCCCAAAAAGGATTATTTTTCTTTATTCTCGTAAAAGTTGACACCTTTGCATTTATTTTAATTTCTGTTTAATTATTCTCAGGTTGATTTGGAGCATAACCAATATCGATCTTTTCAAGGTTTGACTTGCTTGATGCAAATTTCTACCAGAACTGAGGATTTTATTGTAGATACTTTGAAGCTTCGAATTCATGTTGGCCCATATCTTAGGGAAGCATTCAAGGATCCCACCAAGAAAAAGGTTGGTCTCTCTGAAAGCTGCAATTTTTTTTGGGCCTAATGCCTTGCTTGATATCCGTAATTCAAATAGGTTATGCATGGAGCAGACCGGGATATTGTGTGGCTTCAACGGGACTTTGGCATATATTTATGCAATCTCTTTGACACCGGACAGGTTTTACACTGTTAACCCACTACTTGTATGAACATGAAGTTTTAATTTGAGAATTCTTGGTTTTGTTGGAGTATTTAAGAATTTAAGTATTATGTGGCACCATGTTAACTTTTTTGTATGAAATTATTTGCTAGGGTTAATTAGCATGCGATATTAAATGAGGGGAAATTCGTATCTAAGACTATGCATGACAACTCTGTGCTTGTGGTTTAGATTATTGAACTAACTTGACCAGTTTTATGGATGATTATGAGGAGGCTAATCTCATTGGAACTCATTGAAGAAGTTGAAATATGTTATAGCTTTGGAAGTGTTTCCACGTACTGAAGATTTGTAGAGCCTAATTACCATATGCTAAGTGCTATTGTCTTGATTGGAAATGCTTCGACTTAGTTTTGAGTGCAATTAGAATATATATGAATTGATTGTTTTGAATTTGAATTTAAAATTTGTGTTGGATTTCTAGCAATATGTTGACTTATGCTTTTGCGTGGTTCTCAGGCCTCAAAGGTCTTGAAATTGGAAAGAAAAAGTTTGGAGTATCTTCTGCATCATTTTTGTGGAGTTACTGCCAACAAGGAGTAGGTCTTTAATTAAATTCATTTGATCTTCTTCGTCTTCTTCTTTATGCTTGCCACTTCTCTCCTCTTACTTCATCATCTGTTCTACCTTCCTTAAGGTTGATTAGTCTACTTTTTGCAGATACCAGAATGCAGATTGGAGATTGCGTCCTCTTCCTGATGAAATGCTCAGGTAACATTGCTTTTGGGACCTGTATCTTTTGTCTTCTCTGTTTAACCCTCATTTGCCCTCTCTCTCTCTCTCTCTCTCTCTCTCTCTAATTAAACAATGTCTAATTGCTGCACTTTGCATTGTTAATGATTGATTGCTATTGACCATTTTGTTGAGAAAGAGAGAAATTAAAGTAACTGCTTCACCTTTAAATTTGAAAGTCTAGTTTTAGGTAACAAACTTTTGTTCATTTTTAGGTTTGCCTATAAAGTTTTCTCTCTTGAACAATTTTATGCAAAGCGTGACATCTTTATTCTTTCTTGTGCTCAAAGTAGTGCTTGTAGTCAAGACTTAACCAATCAAACTTATTCTTTCTTTATTCTTTTGTGTGCTCAAACATATCAGAGAAACAATCAATCAGGAAGTTGTAAATAGTAGTTAGTTTCAACTTTTTCATCAATATTAATTTAAAACACTTGGCTTTTTATTTATGATTGTAGTTTTGATACTAAGATATTATTTTCTCTCTAAGCTTGTAGAAAGTTTCAAGGATCTGTGATTGGAAATATTGAAGAGGAAACTATCGTTGTTTTATTTCAACTAATTGTTTCTTTCTATTATTTTTTATGACAGATATGCTAGAGAAGACACACACTATTTGCTGTACATTTATGATCTAATGAGAATTAAATTGTTATCAATGCCTAAGGAATCTGAACATTGTGATGCTCCTTTGATAGAGGTATGATGCTATAAATCATAATTCACAGCATTTTCTAGGTTGGCTCTGGCATATTTTATAATAGTACTGACCCTTCTAGAGAAAAAGAGGCTAAGAGATTTCAATAGTCTTATTTCCTAGTTTCATGTTACATTCATGTAAGACTTGTGTTCCTTTCCATATTCCTCTGGCTTCTGACATTCTATTTTGTTCAAGCATCAATACATAATCTACAGCTGAGTCTATGTATTGAAAATTTGTGTTGATCAAATGTGCCATATGAATGTAATCCGATTCTTTAGGATACCATGCTTTGATTTTCTTAAGAAAAATGATGAGTATATATGTTATTTATTGAATTTTTTTCAAAATTGGCCTTTCTCACTCTTTCGGTCTTCTCCTTTTAAAATAAATTTACATGGATGTATTAATTTGTGAACTTTGTTGCTTTCTGCTATTTATCGTTGACTGCTATCTTACTAGCAAAGGTTTTCTTGCTAGCAGGTCTACAAGCGAAGTTCTGATGTATGCATGCAACTGTATGAGAAAGAACTGCTGACGGAGAATTCATATCTCCATATATACGGGTTTGTTACTTGCTCAGGCTACATAGTGCATCTTTGCATGGATGTTTAAATGTCTTATGTAAACTTGATCTAACTAATGACCTTTATTCTGCTATGTGATATAGGTTGCAGGGGATTGGTTTCAATGCTGAGCAGCTAGCAATTGTTGCTGTAAGTTTTAGTTGTTTCATTCATATCTACATGGCCCTTAGTTTTTAAAATAACATATTGATTGGTTGGTAAACCACAAGAAATGTCCAATTTCAATTCAAATACATGTATTTAATGTGCAAAAGCCTTAGTAGCAAAAATAGATGAATGGTACCATTTCCTTGGCTTATATGTCTCACTTAAATGGTTTATAGGGGCTTTGTGAATGGCGAGACATTATTGGCCGTGCAGAGGATGAAAGTACTGGTTACGTGTTGCCAAACAAAACGCTTCTTGAAATCGGTAGGAATGTTTCAAGTTTTTATCAATTTCTGGCATATTTCTTGCTTTTTTTTCTACTACTTTTGGTATATTTACTCAAGTTCTTAGTTTTCTTACTGGTAAAAGCCAAGCAGATGCCTGTAACTGCTAGCAAACTGCGTCGATTGTTGAAATCTAAACACCCATATGTGGAGCAAAATCTTGGTGCAGTTGTTAGCATCATCAGGCATTCTATGCCAAATGCTGTTGCATTTGAAGCTGCTGCTCAACAACTGAGAATGGGTAATGTGCAAAATGTAAGACTCATTATACTGATTTGATAATCCTGAATCCTGTTGCATTGTTGATGTATTTTGATAATATGTTGTATTTCTGTTATTATCTCATTTGTCTTTCAGTCCTCAAATGGGTTGTCATCATTGTCTAGAAATAAAAGATAGCATTGTGAGTTGTAGTAGGCTGTTTCGTGTGACATAAATAACAAAGGCAGCCAAGTCAACTCATAATGGCCATCGTGCAATTATCTTTTAAAACTATTAAAGTGAAGAATCTGCCGATTAATGGGTTAATTTATATGAAATCTTTTATCAGATTGAATAGGCATTAGAAACTCTATGTTAGTTGCAAGAAAGGGTTGAAAGAATGATGATTTTATACCTTTCTATGTGCTGCTTCCTCATTAGTGTTTGTTTCGATGAACTTACAATCGGTTGAAAAAATGTTTAATTTTATAATTACTGTTTGTTGAGATGACTAAGATTTCTAGTTTCTACTCTGCAGGCATCAGAAGAACATGTAGCAGTTGCTGAGGGAGCTAAAGTCTTATCTTGCGAGACTCCTACAGACTTGAAAATTGCAAATGATAGAACAGAAATCATAGACGATGGCATGGGGGGACCTGATAGGATAACTGCCCAACCTGCTTCTCCACGACATAAACAGGAATCGATAAAGATTGGAAGCAATATTGCTGGACTTGACACAGACAGACAACAAAAAAGATTCCCTTTCAAGCCAGATGTGAATGGCATCTCAATGTCTGGGAGCGAAAGTCTTGCCATCTCAGAGCAGAGTGGAGAAGTGAATGCTTGCACAGTTTCACCTTCAGCAAAGATTGTAAGTTGTTAATGCTTTCATGGATTCATGGTAGTCTATTTTTTGATGACTAGCAGCTGGCTAAAATATCTGTTCCCATAGGCTACTGGAGCAACTGTTCAGGTTCTAAAGAAACCAAGCTGTGGCTTTGGGGCACTTCTAGGGAATGCTGCCACAAAGAAGAAATTTGATATTGATAAAAAGGTGAGCCAAGTTATTCAATATTCAGTTAAAATTTTTGTCCATTGCATATTTTTGAAAGGTTGATCTCTTTTGCTCTCTCTCTCTCTCTATATATATGCTGGCTTTTGATTTTTGTGACTGTGAAACTTGTGAAAAAGCTCAGTTGCAGTCCATGCACATAGTTTTCACAGTCACATAAGTAGGGATGGCAATGGGACGGGTTTATGCTCACCTCTACTTGACATTGGGTTATTATTTTGATACTCGATCAGATGTGATTCAACCCGACTCATATATGTAGAATTTGCATCCAACTCGATCTGGAATTAATTCAATGATTTTCATTTAGTTTAATGTTAAAAAATTTGCCCATTCGCACTGATCCCGATTTAAAAAAAAATCACTCTTATCAGATTGGTATGTGTTGGAATCTGTCGGATACAAGATGTTTTGTCATCTCTATTTACATTCTTGTATCATTGCAATTATTTATAGTTTTCATTCCTTTGTCAGTTTCTATGGGAATTAATTCCTTGCTAACTTGTTCGTTGTGATCCAGGGGAAGGAAGAGAGTAAGTTGGAGCAGAACAGATCTTCAGTGAATCTTTCATTTCACTCATTTTTGGGTACAGAGCTGGAATCAAAACCTGAAATGACAGAGCCAACTAGAGTGCTAGAAGAAGTTTCACAGCCTGAAGAACCTCCTGCTGTGGTAGCTACTGAGTCGACCTTCGAAAATATTATAATGTTGGAAGACAATTCAAACAAATATGAATCATTTGATGCGAGGGGTAGCTCAGAAATAATTGATATACCCAGCGAGGAGAGTTCCATGGCACCTTTCTCTGAAACAAATGAAGAAGATGAGACCATGTCCCTATCCGATTTATCCACAAGTTTCCAACGGTGCTTCCAGGCTATCAATCAAAACAGAAAAGCGGTTAAAGTCAAGAAATCAAAAGAACCGAGTGGTCTTATGGGAACAAAGCCATTTGATTATGAAGCAGCCAGGAAAGAGGTTGGATTTGGAGATGTTGTAGAGGAAGAATCAGGAAGCCTAGCAAAGTCTTCAGGTAAGAATAAAAGTTCAGCCAGCGGCCGACTGCAAATATACGATGGGGGTAACCAATTTCCTCGCGGTAGACGACGACAAACTTTTCCGTCGTCTGGGAATAGAACTGCAACCTTCTCCAATGATAAATCATAATCCTGTAAGACAAATCGCATTTAGCTGTTGAAAGAAAGAAGGAATTATAGAGATTATATATTTGCACCAAATATATACATAGAGAGAGAGAGAGAGAGAGAGAGAGAGAGAGATCATATATTACATTTAAAAATATATTTTAAAAGTTGGTTAATTGGACAGATTATTAATTTTAAAAATTAAAAATTAATAGAATTAATTGATTAAATCGATATATTTAATTGATTAATATCAAATTTGAATGAATTGAATAGATTATTTGATCCAATTTAATTAATCGAAATCGATTTATGCTAGTCTTGTATCATTATTAGTTTTATGTTCAGTATAATATTTTTGCTCTTTTTATGTTTTTATTTTTATTTTCATGAATAAAAAAATTTTGACGAAAACTTTTAAAAGAAGAGGAAAGAGCAAATGGGGGAATTGAAATTTCCTTATATGCTTCGCCAGACTCACACCTTCTGTTCTAAGCAACTAGGCACATAGAAGGTGGTTGCAGTCTTTAATGACGTGGCAGTACATGATAGGCTGAATGACGTGTTCTTGATCTCTCAGCTGTTGCCTGTCAAAACAAATTCAAAACCGCAATTTAGTTTAAAAAAAAATATATCATCTTCCATCTTTCTCGTTGTGGCTCTGGCGCTCTGCGTTCATTTCTAGAAGAAACACAAGGAAACGCTTTGTTTGGAATTAAGCATGGCAGCGTTTGAAGGAGGAGGGACATTATCGGAAGTCTATCAAAGCGCAAGAAAGGTACTTCTTCGAGCAAGGGATGGGATCGAACGCTTAGAGAGGCTCGAGAGCTCCGTCTCCGGCGGTGGAGGACTCGACTCTCCAGAACTCTCTTTCGCCGTCAAAAAAGATATCTCTCAGATCCGCTCCCTTTGCGCCGATATGGATCGCCTCTGGCGTTCCGTCGCCGCCAAATCGCAACGCGATCTCTGGAAAAGGTATCATCATCAAAACGCCTACGCAAACTCAATGACTTTTTTCACTAGTTTCAGAAAAACTAGGGTTCATAATAAGTTGCTAAGGTTGTAAAATTCTTGTAGTTATTTTATGCAAATCCTTAATTAGGTATTAAATATCAATAATTATCTTTAATTAGTCAATTTGATTCAATGTTGTTACTTTTGATTATTTTCATCTTTAATCTTCGAAAGATAAAGGGACTTCGGTTGAGGTCTTCTATAATGGATAATGTTTGATCATTTCTTTTCTGGAAAACTTTCTTATGGAAATTACTTATTGTGCCTGATTGTTTCAATGAATTAATCATTAATAAGGGTTTGAAATTTACATTTTCGAGTGCCTTAGCTTTAGTTTTATGGGGATTATGGTGTTTGTACAAATTATATTTATCACCATTTATCCTTGAGAAAATATGCGGAGTAGGTGGGAGGGGGGCCATGTTTAGAATGTCAAATTCTCAATTATCCATACTAAAAGATGATGTTTGTGAGACGCCCGGTGATTAAGTTTGGTTTTCTTAAGGATGGTTTGGATTTTGGGTGACTTTGAGCAAATTTGAATAAGACTGAACAGTATGCAATTAATACTAAGCTTGATAAATTGCAATAGTGTAGAGGGCAGCTTTGCAGTTTCTCTAGAAGTCAAATTTCATACTTCATAGACAAATATCAAATAGTAGGTTGTGAGCAAAATAAAGCATCTGAAAGAGAGCGACTTATGTAAAACTTTGCCCTGCAAAATTAAAGCAACGCATAAATTTTTAGAAGGAAAACTTTTTTAAGCTCAAGACTTGATTGACACAAGCTTCTTTATGGGCAGTCAACTGCTCTATGTCAGATTGTCAATTATTTGAGTTTAACAAAAAAGTTTTGCTTAGTTGTATGCCCACTGAATTAGATTTTTTCTTTAAGGGTTATGAAGTGTGCAAGTGCTCTCTTTTTGCTTTGGTGAAACTTTGAACAAGTTAGAGCTGTTTTGATGATTTTCAGTTACCATGCCTCTTGGTGTTGTTATAACTCAATATCCACATTAGTTTGATGGTGTTACATCTTGAGACTATTTATATTTTGCAAACAGAAAAGTGGAACAAGTGGCTGAAGAGGCTGACTCTTTGAAAGATAGTCTGGACAAGTATTCTATGAGGAATCAGAGACGAATGTTGGAAGCAAAAGAGAGAGCTGAATTGCTTGGAAGAGCTGTGTGTAAATCTTTTCTTTTGTTGTTTCTCTGTTTTTTGACAATTTTGTTAGTGTGCTATATCATGTTCTTTTAGGGAATGGAGCTTATTTTAGTTTGCGATGAATTCATTTTATTATTATTTTTTTAGAATGGTGAGTCAGCACATGTCTTGAGAATTTTCGATGAGGAAGCACAAGCAATGCAATCGGTTCGAAACTCGTCAAGGATGTTACAAGAATCTTTTGCAACAGGAACAGCCATCCTTTCCAAATATGCAGAACAAAGAGAACGCCTCAAGGTATAAACACTGAGGTCCTTTGCTGGCACATTTGTAGTTAAATGGTTAAATGAAAATTTAACAAATGGAGTTAGTTAATTTCATTGCAGATTTACCAGTTTTATTATAGGTTAAGTTACTCACAATTGATCTTATTAGTGGTAGTGGTTCTTGGTAACTTGGGTTTCTTTTCTCTGCCACCCCTAATTACAAACTGTCATAACTCGTAAGGAAGTACTACTTCTATTAGTGTTAGTGTGGTCTGGATTAGTTATTGGCTGCTGTATTAGCTTTTTATATATAGCTGAGCGCACAAGTTTATATTCAGAAGTATCTGTTGTTTATCGAGTAACATAGAGAGAATTCCTCTACTGGTGATATAACTAAAGTGATTGCTCATAAAATGTTGTTAGCTAAAACTATATGCTTGAAATGTGAAAATGGTGGTTGCTGATGCGTTGATGTTATTGTGACCACTGTTAGCGGTACATTAAGTTTTTTAACCAACTTCTTGTTGTTGTTCAGAGAGCACAACGAAAGGCTTTGGATGTACTTAACACAGTGGGGCTCTCCAACTCCGTCTTGAGGCTTATCGAGAGGAGGAACCGTGTTGATACATGGATCAAATATGTGGGGATGGTTTTGACAGTCATCATTTTATATTTCTTCTGGAAGTGGACCCGCTGACTCGCATTCACTTCCTCCTTACATAGTACAAACACCTTTGTTTTCTGGATCTCTTATCATGTTAAGAAGGCAAAATAATACAAGTTTGGACGTGAAGAGCTTTGATAAGAACAGATGACACAAAGGACTTTGCCATTTTAAACTTGCATCGAACAGGTAGTTGTTGGTTCTTACAATTTGTACACGCCTAAAAGACGAGTTACGAATATGTGAAAAGAGTTCGTAGAATAGATGACCAAAGTTATTACAGCTTGCTTGGTCACTTTGTATGGATGCTTGATATGACTCAGGATTGTATATTGTTAACTTTTAGCAAAAAGTTCATATGAATTTGACAAAATTAGAAAAAAAAACGTGTTTAATGTTATATGATAATTTTTGTGTTTTTAAAGTGTTTGATACAATATGAATTTTTTTGATGCCGAGTGTGGATAAGTTTAATCTGGTGATGCATAGGCGGCCAAATAAAATTGGTAGAAATTGAGGTAAGTTGGTAAACCGATTCCTAATCGGATTGTTAACGTTGTTGGAGACTGAATTCATTTCATTGCAAGTAGGCAGGAAGGCAGGCAGGCACAACCTCAAGTTAGAGATCGCAACTAGCCACATTCAAAGGAAAATGACCCAATCAGACCTTTTATTTAATAAAATCCACTCACAAATTTAACATTCTCATTTGTTTTAAGCTGTCAACAATCTTAGAAAGACGAGTTTCTCCTTTTCATCCAATGTCTACTTTTGCTTAGGACTCCTCTCTTGTTTTGAAGATGATGAATCGACAAACTTTTTCTTTCCTTACATGATTTGGTTAAAATATAATGTGATGATACGACATAAAAATAATATAAAAATGATATAATAATAATAAATTTTAAAATTTTAATAAAAAATATATATTTAATTTTTTTTATATCGATATAAATTATAATATATAATTTTTATATAAAATATAATATAAATAAGCGAATTATCATTATTTTACATAAAATAAATATATAAATTGTCGGCGTTTACATATGAATCTCTAAAGAAAACATTTATTTGCGATATGAATGTTAAGAGTAAATTTCAAGTTGGCATGGAAAGAGACAATTGCTGACTCCTAAAGAGATCTTCAAGGAACGAGAATAATTAAGCCATGATCTTCTATTGAAATAGGACCGATTGCTGCTGCAAACATGGGAAAAGTGACAAGAATTATCATAAAGGAATCAAATGCCGAAACTATCCTTGCCATATACAATTTTATATGCAAAAACCTAGGGTACCCTTGACATTTTGACCTCTAGGAGGGTCAGAATTTGGGGTCCAAATCCGTGTGGCAATGATGAAGTCTCTTTTGGATTACTAAAGAAAATTCAATCTCCCATCAAAATCTTCAACCAATGAACTTTCAATCATAATGGATTTGAAGTTTTGAAAATTTTCTAGGAAAATAATTCAGCAATGAAAGTGGAAGGCAAAAAAAGGAAGGAAAAGGACATTGTTTAGAGGAATCCCCACAAACCTTTTCCGTATCTCAAATCTATGGTGAGCTTTTGTTACTTGATTTTATATATTTTATAACTTTAATAAGTGGGTCTTGATTTCTTTTAGAAAGTTCCCCCATTGAAATTTGCTTTTCCCTGTTGGGTACCACTGCTTTTGCTGGTAAGTGTCTGCTTTTCCTGCAGCACGAACTAATGCCAGCAAAACAATTATGCAAAGAAATTTATGAAACCATCAGATTTCTAAATTTATAGAAAACTATCTGCATTGAGAAATATCATGAGAGAAACAATTTGGGTTTAAAGGCACAAAGTACAGTACAAAGAATAGGGAGATGAGATGAAAGTATCGAGAGACAGTCTGGCTGGCATGACAAGGGAACATGCATGTTTGAGTTTCAAGACAATATGTCGACAATTTGACGTCACCAAATTGGCAAAAAAATAAATTACCCTTTTGTTTTTGGTCATAAATAAAATTATGTTCTTCATTATTCGTTATCATTACTCTAGGCTTCAGTTTGCAATCAAATTTATGACAAGTGAGGTTCAAGCCAGATTTATGTTGAAACCTGTTTTTTTCTTGGATGCTTTTTGCGTATGTATGAAGACTGGAGACTGTGGGGATGTTGAAACTTCATACTTCATTAATAAGTTGACTACCAACTTGTTGAGTTTTCCCTAAAATTTACTTCAGGTAACAATTAATCCACAACTACTTTCATCTTGAAGCCAAACATGTTTTTCCTACATTACATATTGAGACCATTTTTCCTGGTCTTATGAGTCATCAATTTCAGTAAAGACGAGTTGGTACTAAATCGTAAATCATTAATAAAGACCATTTTTTTTATATAGTTTTTCATGTATATACCAACAAAAGAAAATCAAGAATAATAAATGGGTTAGTATAGTTGTCAAATTTCACCTCTTGGTGTCTTCCAAGAAGAAATAATACTACTAGTACTAAGCTAAAACTGGTGACAGTGTCACCACACCAGTCATAAAATAATGAAACAACCTGAATTTTAAAATGAGAAGCTTACTATTGAAGTTAAATGCAAGTGGTACAAGGCCTAGAAGCAAAGCAAAGAGAAAGAAAAAAAGAATGAAAAGAAAAGGCGCCGAAGGTAACAGACAAACATGGAAGCGGTGTCACAGCTCAAAGTAGACAGGACCATAGAGCGAAAGCTTACATTACAGTCTGTACTAATGTGCCTTCACATGTTTTTGTTTATAACATAAACTTGTCAATCCATTATTTATCCAAATCTGACAACTAAAAAGCTGTGAGCATGGCAACCTGAATTATGGGGAATAAAGGGTTCTTCTGTCTTCTATAGGAATTCTTTTTTTTTCTTTTGCTTTTTCAACTCCAGCTATAGCTTCTCTTTAAGACCTTCTTAAGGGAAAAAGAAAAGAAAGAACAGTGACAAAGTTATAGAAAGAGAAAGAAACTTGTTTGTGAGTTCCTTTTTTTTTTTTCTTGAGAAGGAAAATCTGAAATATCGGTTTGTGGGATTTACATGTCAGCTTTGGTGTTAAATATTTGGCTGTTAAAAGCTTCTTTGAACCCGTGCCACTTGTTTGTCTTGGCTTGCATCACCAACAAACTGACACTGGTTTTGGAAAAAGGTTTTCTCCTGCTATCAGTAGGATGTAAAGGTCCCTGAGTGAAGATAAGTTGTTAGGGTTTTGTTGTTGTTGTAGTGTGGGGTCAAAAAGAGTTTGAGGACAGTTCTGAAAAGCAAAAAGAAACAAACTGAAGTGGGTTTTTGGTTGGGGTGTTTGTGTGGTGAACATTTGAAGTGTGAAATGCAAGGGAAATTCCATAATCTTTGGTTTAAGTTACTTTGAGAAGTTATCTTCTATATTGGGGAGAACTTTCTTTTAGTGATTTTGGCAGGAAGTTTCTTCATTTTGAAGTGACAAATATTGATTCTTAAGTTTGTCTTTGTGACTAGTTAAAAGTCTCAAGTGCTCTCCAGCAAGAAATTCCTGCTCCAAATTTATCTGCATCTACCTTTTGAGGAGCGTTAAGAAGAACCAAATGCTGTTTCACAGGGCACACCAGTTGAGCTGGGGTCTGTTCAATCTGTTCTCTCAAGAGGTAAGCTTTATATAATCTTTGAAACAAGCTATGGTACTGAGAACACTCTGTTAAAAATTTGTTATACAAAAATAAATGCAGTCAAAACTTCATGTAAGCGTTAGGCCAATAGAAATAAACTCTCTTTAATTTTGTTTGAGCGCCTCTTTGGTGCTGAATATCTCTACTTAACGGATAATTTTGTGCTAAATTTTAAAATCTCAGTTTTCTACCTATTTGAGCTTTTTCTTATCCCAATGTTATTATTATGGTAATCTTTGCAGAGCTTCCTTAATGTGATCTTGGAAATGTGAGCTTCAGTGATTGATAGTACAAACTACAACACCCTTTTTGCTGTTTCTGCAAATGTGGACAGAATATTGCAAGATTGGTAACCATTTTGAGTTGATGGTGTCTCTGCAACTTATGTTCATTTTCTAGTCCTTCAAAATTGCTAAGTTGCTTTTCCCCTAATGCTGGTTCTGTATATGCTTCCAATGGCGAAAAAATTAAAGCACCAGGCATTCCTAGTTCTTGCCATAATATTGCTTTTAATCAATCACTCAGAGCAACTACAATCCTCCCAGACTCGTAAACTTTTAAGGCTTCGACTGCTTTTGAATCATCCAGATATTTTAAGTAGCTGGAATAGCACCACAGATTTCTGCAACACTGAACCTACATCCCAACTAACCATTGTATGCTATGAAGAAAGCATAACTCAGCTGCTTATAATTGGAAAAAAAGGAACTCCTGTGCTACCTAGAAACTTTTCCATGCATTCCTTTGTCAAAACACTTGTTAAGATTCCAGACTTGAAAGTCCTTACATTGGTTTCTCTTGGTTTATGGGGGCCATTGCCTGGTAAAATTGCAGGTTTATCCTCATTGGAAATACTTAACATGAGTTCAAATTTACTATATGGAACCATCCCTCATGAGTTTTCATCTGTTACTAGCCTTCAAACACTCATTCTTGATGATAACATGTTCTCTGGTCGGCTACCTGAATGGCTAGGTTCATTTCCAATTCTGACTGTTCTGAGTTTGAGGAAGAATTTGTTCAATGGCTCTTTGCCTGGTTCTTTTAACAGTTTGGAGAATCTTAGAGTTCTTGCACTTTCACATAACCACTTCTATGGAGAAGTGCCTGATTTTAGCAGTTTGACAAATCTTCAAGAGCTTGATCTGGAAGATAATGCTTTTGGACCTCAGTTTCCTCAGCTTGGCAACAAGTTGGTTCGCCTTGTGTTGGGAAAGAACAGTTTTAGGTCTGGCATTCCTTCTGAATTGAGCTCCTATTACCAACTTCAATGGCTGGACTTGTCATCCAACAGATTTCTTGGGCCATTTCCTCCATCATTGTTATCCCTACCTTCCATTACTTATTTGAATATTGCAGACAACGAACTCACTGGGATGCTTTTTGAAAATACCTCTTGCGATGTAGAACTTGAATTTGCAGATTTATCCTCAAATCGTTTGACTGGACACTTGCCAAGCTGTTTTTCAGATTCTAAAGATAGAGTTTTCCTGTATGGTCAAAATTGCCTGGAAACTGGAAAGGAAAACCAACATCCTCTTTCCTTCTGTCAAAATGAAGCCTTAGCTGTGGGAATCTTACCTCATCATAAGAAGACCGAACCTTCTAAAGTAGCTCTTGCCTTCGGCATAACAGGAGGAATTCTTGGTGGAATAGTACTTCTTGGTCTCATTTTCTTATTTGTTAGGAGGTTGAATGCAAATAAGACAAGCAATAAACCTACAACAAGATTGATTGCAGAGAAAGCATCAACTCGGTACGCGTCAAAGTTACTATCTGATTCAAGTAAGACTCCTCTCTGTCTCTCTTTCTCTAGTTACAAACAATGACTCCAAATAGACTTGATTGACAATGAAATTTTTATCCAGGCAACCCAAATAGTTTGGTCATAAGAACTAAGAAGACTTACCCAGGTTCAAGTTCAACTATCAAAGTTTAATGAACAACTCTCCTGTTGAATATGTAATTGTCAGATTCCACAACCCTACGATCATGTCATTTGTTGGTTAGGACAAATGCACAAAGAACAAAGAAAAAAAATCAATAAATATAAAATCAATGTGTCCTACCATAGCTTTCATTACTTGCATATATGATCATATGATTTTTGGCTACTTGAAGGGTATATATCTCAAACAATCAACCTGGCAGCACCGGGACTTCCAGCTTATCGAACCTTTTCATTAGAAGAACTTGAGAATGCAACAAACAACTTTGACACAAATGCTTTCATGGGTGAAGGTTCTCAAGGGCAGGTACGTGATGTGGTTAACATATAACTTATATTTTTGCCTTGCAGCAGTAGATTTTACTCCCATTATTTTCTCCAAATATGAGCTTCTTGAAGTTCTATTTCACAGCCATTATAGGTTTTCTTACTATGCTTCCTCTCATAACAGACTTTTTCTGTCTGGTTGACTCCATTTAACTCATTTTCAAGCTTCTGTTTTCTGAACTAAAATTCGTTTAAATGGCCTTTTTCTTTTATTTCTTGCTTTTTTGATCAACCCTTTTGCTTTTGTTTTGGAACTTTGTTAGAATACAAAACCAATTGCCGGGTTATTGACCACTAGTTTAATGAACTCAATTAAAAGTTGAATGATTCTCTGATTCTTTAACACAATTTGTCTAAACTGGTGGTCTGATTTTCAAATCCTAGAAGCCTTGTCATTGGTAAAACTAATTCCAACAATTTGCAACAGCATAATGTGCTTTCATGGATATTGTTCAAAGCATTTAATAGTTTTACTGACCATTTTTTTCTATTATCTACATCCAAAATGAGGGAAAATTTTCCTTTGTAAAATCTTTTAACACATTGCTTTTATGATTTCAGATGTATAGAGGTCGGCTGAAAGATGGCACCTTTGTGGCCATTAGATGCCTAAAAATGAAGAAAAGCCACAGCACTCAAAGCTTTCTGCACCATGTAGGCCTGATTTCTAAATTGAGATACGGCCATTTAGTCAGTGCTCTTGGGCACTGCTTTGAGTGCTACTTGGATGATTCAAGTGTCAGAAGAATATTTCTCATATTTGAATACATACCAAATGGCACTCTAAGAAGCTGGATATCTGGTAATTCTGAAGATAATCTATTTAAAATTTTTCTGGACAGATGATTGTGAGGCCATGCTATTTGCACCCTTCATTTCTGCATCTTAGGGTGACCAGACACATGAATTATCCATTTTGTTTATTCTTTGACTGGAAGAATTATTTTGTTCACCGTTTGATAATTCGAGTGGATCATTTAAAAGTATGGAATGAAAAAAAAAATGTTTAGCTTACGTATGAAAACGAGTGACTGCTTTGTTCAGTTTGTTTTGCTGTTGTTCATCAACAAGACAACAGCATCCAATCTGTTTCATGTTATATATAGAGACATAAAACCTGTCCTCCATCCTGACAGACCTGAATGTTTATTTTATTATCTATAGTTTGGATGGTTTGGTATCTTTGACATTCTGGTTGGCAGAAGGACATGCCAGACGATCACTTTCATGGGCACAACGCATATCAGCCGCAATAGGGATAGCTAAGGGCATCCAATTTTTGCACACAGGGATCGTGCCTGGTTTGTACACAAATAATCTGAAAATAACAGATATTTTGATGGACCAGAACCTTGTTGCAAAAATTAGCAGTTACAACCTGCCCTTATTTGCAGAAAGTGCAGGAAAGGTATGAACACTGAAGAACAATTTTTTTTCTTTTAATTGCAACAAATATTTTCATTCTGTAGGGACTTTTTTCTTCCTGGAAGGTGTAAGATAATATTTAGCACTCCTCATTCTTGCAGGTAGGTCATGCGACTTCTGCTCTACCTAAGGATCCAAACAATAGTACAAGGTTTGTAATGACTTATGGATGATACTGAAGTTATACAGTTATAGTTGGAACCGATATTGTTAATCTAAGATGTCTGTGATGCTTTTATCTGTATATGGCTTGTTTGAAGGTAAAATTCATGTAAACAAGATCCATGATGTTTAGTTGTATGACTATTAAATGGCTATTATATTCCCTCCCTCAAAGTTCATCCCTACTGAGTTCAATAATGAGAGAATCTAAAATATGATGTTTCATTAAACTATTACCTTTGGTTTTTGTTCCTTGACAGGGTGAGTTATGGTGATAAGGTTGATGTCTATGATTTTGGAGTGATTTTACTAGAAATGATTCTGGGGACGCCATTAAAATCCAGGAGTGAAGTGCAAAGTCTTAAAAGTCAGGTAAATCGTAGCCTTACTCTGTTATGATTGTGAGTTCCAAGTCTCATTCCCATTTTCTTTCATTTCTCATAAAAAAAAAAGAAAAGAAATTATTCTGATAGCTGCTTCCTATAAAAAGAAAGTTGTGTTACCTTTCCAGACTGTACAAAGAAACTCACAAATCCTTAATTGATTATCCTTTAACCCTGTGAAGTTACAAGCAACCGTAGCAACAGATGAAGCAACTAGAAGAAGCATAGCCGATCCAGCAGTTCAGGCATCTTGCTCGGATCAGTCACTAAAGACAATGATGGAAATTTGCAACAGATGTCTGCTAGAGGACCCTTCTGAGAGACCTTCTGTTGAGGATGTTCTGTGGAACTTGCAATTTGCTGCTCAAGTTCAGGACGCATTGCGGGTAGATTCCCATAGCAGTGAAGGATCTCCAGGTTCTCCTTCCCAACCCCCACACTTTCGTGTTTCCTTCCATTAGCAACAACTTTCAGGTATTTCTACTTCTCATCAAAGTTGTTGTCAGGTTGTGGAACTTGTTAGTTGCATTGATTTAAAGCGTGAATGTGAACTCAGAGCTTAGCTCATATAGCCACTCTTAAAATGTAACATTCGACAGATTTGAGATTTGAATCTCAATACTTACAATCCCTTCCTCTATCTCTAAGCTGTAGCCACCATTTTACCAAAAAAAATTTTAAAAAAAAGTCAATGTGAACAGTAATCTCTAATTATCAGAGTTAGCAATCCAGTTAATTTGAAAAGTTGGAAATTTCAGAACCAAATTGTCTGTACCAGTTTTCAGAGAATTTTTTTTTTCTTGATAATTCACAATTACACTTACTGTCTGAACAACAAAAAGGAATTGCTGCAAGGCCCTTATTATGTTGCGCTCTTTGTTCATAGTTTTTATGTGTTTATTTGGATCCAGGTTTCCTAAATTAATGTTTTTTTTTTTAATTGATTCAAGTCTATAACTTATGAATGATACTGCGAACAATTGCAGTAAGAAGCGACAACGACCTTTCTTTAACCTCAATTCTTTCATATTTATTTAAAAAAAAAAAAAAAAAAACTAAAAGCAAGAAATGGACCGAAAGAGAAAAAGAATGATAGATCTGATTGTGGGTAGGAAAAAAAAAAAAAAAGAAAGAAAGTAAAGAAGATGAAAAATGAAAAAAAATAAAAATCCACTCCTACTTAACCTTTGGCCTTTGTATTTTTTTCCTCAACCCAAAAGATTTGTTGTATAAAACTGAAAGGGTTCATGCGGAAGAGAAGTCATTAAAAGAAAGGCTCCAATCTCTACAACTTTCATTTTATAGATTTTTTATTCCCCCTTTTTTTTTAATTTTAAAAGTTTAATTGATTATAATTTAAAGATTAATTGATTTAATTTTATCATATGACTAAATTTTATTCAATTAAAAATTTAATTGAATCAAAATAAAAAATTAAAAGTTAATTGATTGCAATAAAATATTATAAAATTAAATAATTATTGAATTTGTGCTCGAAATTTTTTTTCCTTTGTTGACAGAAAAACCATTTTGTTGTGAGTTTCTTAGTACAGGGATCAATATATTATTTTTTATAATTTAGGAATCAAAACGATATTCAACTAAAATTTTAAAGAATCCACTCTTAATATTATATATTCATAAAATATTATTTTTAAATAAATTATATTTTAATTATATATAAATCTAATATTTTATTACATTAGCATTTTAAATGAAAATATTAAATAATAATATTATTAATATATAAATGTAAAATTAAATAAACAATAAAATATATACCTCAAGACAAATCAAAACAAAATATCCCAAAACCCATAACCATTTTTATCAGATCCGAATAAAAATTCATCGAGTTCGAATTGTTTTGCAATCAACCTTTGACTGAGATAGCTTATTGTCAGAGTTTTGTATTAGATGCAGAGAGCGGTTTAGACTCTAAACACAGTGCTTGGTATTCACAAAGAGAAGCAAAATAACCAGCAAATCCGACTAGATTCAAGCAAAACAGGAGTTCCTAGCAGCCATTCCCATTCATATTGTTTGAATATCTTACTGATTCAATTACAATGAAAAGCCCCTCCAATTTGGTCTCTGAGAGCAAGCATTCTCCTGCCTTGGACATTAGCTCTAGAAAGATACTCATATACAGATGCTACAAAGAGAAATTGACTGTTACATTACAGAAAAGACGAGGAAAGAATAGGATTCAACATCAAGAAACCAGCAAAAACAGAGAATGTATAAGAGGCAGGAATCAAATCATTCAAAGAAATCATCACCGAACAAAGCACACGAAAACAGTCGATAGTATTCCACTCCCCAACAAGATCTTTGGGGAATGGTCTTCAAGTTTGCTAGCACCAGCACCAGCATCGCCACCAGAATTCGTTATTTTCAAACACTGCACTCAGTCAGCAGTCCAACTCTGCTCCACGATTTCACGCACTCTTCGGTTGTACTCCCGCTTATTCTCACTAAACATGCGAGCAGCTTCAGAGTTTGCTGGAGAGTTTGGGTTTGGATCACAAAGTAGAGACTGGCACAAGCACAACAATGTAATTAGCATGTTTAATATGCTTTAATTGAGAACCTTTGGAATCACATTTCCTCAACTTTTGAGCAAAGCAAACTAAGTTAATCAAACTGCACAATAATAATTAACAAGAAAAACCATACATACACAACAAAGTCCTGATTAGAGACCACTTTTCAAAATGCTTGCTTTATGTTAATCAGAACAGTACCACTTAATCACAATTTTCAAAGCAATTCCTATCAAATGCAATGATTTAATAACTGCTCATAGGATGAAGTTGTGAGGATCAACAAGCATCTTACATCTCTTCACCCACCATAAAAAGGATTAAACTTGATCATAGTGCACATGACGCCAACAGTTATTCAGCCACATGTGCAAAGACTTATGCTGACTGCCTACTGACAAGAATGTCAAACCATGTTTAAAAGAAGTACAAGAATGAAATGTGCCTGCTCTAATGTACCAAAAAGATGAACAAGAACAAGACAAAAAGGCTTGCAATATTTAAGTTTCTTTTCTTCAAGTGGAAGCTTTTGCCTTGTTTAGAATGTAGGTCCAGATATGTAGTCTAAGCAAGATGAAGGGGATGGGGATGAACTGAATGTGCTAGAGAATCTGGAGGACTGTGAAATAAGCTAATAAAGTTTTCAAACTCATGGCTTTAACAAGACTAAAAACCTCATCTCACGACCAGGATGGATGATCCTTGACAACAGCTCAACAATCAGCACAAGTTCTCAGAAAGTAACAGCTTTGAGATACTTCATTCAGAGACATAGGCTAGCCTCCTTTACACAAATTCTAGCCAACTATTCCCATGTTTTTCTGTGCAATAAATAAATAAGATGCCAGAGATACGAGGGGTATTCATCAACTAAGGCAAGAGATGAAAAAGAGAAATATGAAATGCAAGAAGTCAGTAAATTCTGAAAAGGGGCCATGAAGGAAGGATATGTAGGTTTTTCCCATGTTTAGTCAAAGACTATGCAAATAACATAGGCTCCTGCAAAATGGATCTAATTCTTTAGTTCTTGTTTCTCTGATATTCAAGTTCCTTCTAGAAAACTCTCTTCTACAGATATACTTTACGTTTTAAAAGAATTGGACTTGTTTGATGTTTTATGTCTCATTGTTAACTGTTTTTGGTGCTTTCTTGTATACTTCCCTTCAATGTGAATGTGTAACAGAGAGGCACCCTTTTACAACATTATGAATTATTACTTTCATTTATAAGAAAATGATGGAGAGTTGACAGAACAAAAGCTCGGGCCATAGTTCCTGCAACCTCTTCCTCAATTATCTAGTAAAAAGGTGGTGAACAAGTGCATCCACTGGCATCATCAAAATTTTTTAAATATATAAAAGGCTACAACAAAAATCTGCCACTAAGGCCAGGTAGATCAGTCACTCTTTTGTTTTATTGAGCTTGTTAAGTGATACTCCAGGTCAAACAGAATTGTCAGTGATTACACGATCTAGTACTACTAGCATCTTACCACCTTTACTCCATGTAATAAAGACAGGAAATTTTCACATATAAAGGGAGAAACCCTCCATCCCTCAATTTTGTTCCACCATGCATGACATGCATAAGCACTTCGTTAAAGAACCAAGACATTCTTACCTATGAAAAGAAATTTTACAGACATTATTACCTATGAAAAGAAATTTGACAATGACAACTTATTGACTTTTCTTCATGGACAAAAAGGAGAAATAGACAAAAGTTAGACGTACAGGAATATGACAGCCTGTCCATTCCCAAAATTGGCCTACAATTCAATTATGGTACATAGACCTACAGCCTGCATAGGCAGAATTATATCTCTACCACACATGCATCCTCCTGTACTGCAGTTTATATTGCATTATCCTCACAACCACTCTAGTTCTGTCAAAAGGCTTTAGTTTATTAAAGTTTGATATATCAAGCTTCCACAGTTCAATTATTTTCAGGGAGTCAAATCTTTGGCTTAATAAACATTTTACGTTTCTCATGTGCCTAGGTTGTGAATGAATCTCTTTGTATGTATTATATGTCACATCTTTCCTTATTATCTTTTTTCGTTTGTTATTAAATGCAAACACTGATTGGCCAAAAAGAAAAAAAACATAAACACTAAGACAGACACACAGCAATAGCCAAATGACTTACGCAGTAAATATTAATATTAATAACTGAAAATTTCTCGATTAAGGTTTCTCAGATTGATATACTTTAAGAAGCTAATTGCAATCACCAAAATATCAATGAAAAGTATGCTCATCGCATTGATAGTTGTGATAGACTCAACTTAAGCAAAGGCCTCATACTTTGTTGCAGGAAAACAGATAGCAAAGAGGAACAACCACTCATGCAAAAACATAGATAACTCAAAAAGTTTGAATTTGAAATCAACAAAGTGCAAGCACCATGGTTTAGGGGAAGCCATTGATGAGAAACAATTTCTTCAGAAAGAAAATAAAAACGCATAGAATGCTGCACCTGGATAGAGGTGAGTATAGCTGCAACATCATATATAGGACTCCACTGATTTTGCAAAATATCAAGACAAATACTCCCATCTGCATAGACTGATCAAGACATGACAGATTATTAGATGGCAAAAGACATAAACAGACCCATTTTGCACATAAGGCCACAAAAAAAAAAAATCAATGAACAAAATCTTGTACATACTATTTGGATGAAACATTCGTGAGACGAACCGGACAGTTGGAGGCTTATTTGGATAATCCTCCGTAAACTGCAAAGTCAACTTGAACGTACCTGAAAAATCTCAAGAAATTTCTTGTGTCACATGAGAAATAAAAATTAATTTAGTATCCTTAAAACAAGAAGATTAAAATATCACTAAGGTGGTAACAGAAAGAATAACTAGGCAGTAAAAAACAAGAAACCAGTGACTAATGTGTCATGTAACTCATGAGTCATACTCTTCATTTTATTGATTCCAGCCAAAACTCGTCAAAGCTCATGAAAAGTGCACCTAAAACATAATGTCCTTTTTCTTGCAAAAGAAACATGAAATGTCTAAACACCATAAAATTAACAATTTATCAAGTCTTAACCTTGCTACCCCTACCAAGCCCTCAATATCCTCTTTACAATCAAACCACCAAGTTATAACATCAAAAAATTTGCACAAAGTTTACCATTTGAAATGTCACAGTTCTAAATTCCAAAGATTTCATGTAAAAATTTCACAAGTCATAGTAACAAGGAAAAAATCACACCAAATTCCAACAAACAAGCGATATACCGAACATGACTTACTAATTCTTCATGCTAAACTGATCAAACAAAACATTCAACAGCAGATAGCGGCAAAGAAAAGTAAAGAAAATGCAATTTCTATTGCGGCCAAAACCAATGATCAATTGACAATAATCATCATAACCATCAACAGAAAACCCAAGAGGACTAAACCATAAAAAAAAAAGATAAACTCTGGAGCCAAACATCACAAAATAGTTCATCAATAATAAAACAGATTGCGCAAAAATTCAACTACACTCCCCCTTCATCAGCTCAGAAAATCATGTGTCCTTGAATCAAGTATCAATGCATATCGATTTAAGCATGCATGTTCAAAAATCCATAACAGTTCAAATTTCAAGGAAAAATGACTAAATCAGCGGGAATGGAAACAACAAAATGATACCAATTCGTTGATTTTCACCTAAAACCCAAAAAGGTAACATTATTAGCAGCTCAAATTTCACAACTCCACAAAAATCCAATAAGAAAACGTCAATAGCATAACATATAAAACAAAAAATTTATAAATTCAAGTGAAAGAAAACAAAAACAGAAAAAAAGAACAAATTTTTACCTCCATCCCATGGAGTATCATCAGGCCTGCAAAAAAATCAAAAACCCCAAAATTAAAAAATAAATTAAAAAGAGAAAGAAAGGAAGGAATTGAGAAATACCCAAAAATGACAGCGTTCCAAAGCATGATATTATTATCTTGAGGAGCCCCACTAATACCAGCAGGTGGATCCTGCTGTAGCCTCTTGAAGTCTCTCATCAGCCTCTTCCTCGCTGGGGTTGACATAGCCTTCTTCTTTTTCTAAAACCAATCCAATCCTAAATAAAAGGAAAAAAAAAAACCCAATTTTCTTTTACAGAGAGAGAGAGACCTGTGGGGAAATCTATGAAATATCCATCTCTGGAATTTTGGGTGTTTCACAAAAGAGAGGTCAAGCTAGGGTTTTTTTGTTTCCTTTTTCTTTTTTAGCGAAGGAGTGCGGGTTTGTTTTTTTATATGATAAGAAAAGAAAAAAATGGGTGGCGATTCCATTGCTTATGGTTAAATAAGTTTTGAAACGGACGAATAGTATGCTGCCACATCATTGCCAGCCAATTTCTATTTCTATTTTTTTCTTTTTTTTTTCCCAAACTTTTGATGATCTTTTTACCCTTATTTTTTATTGTTCTATTTTCCCAAATTTTGTATTAATATTTTAGAGGAGGAAAAATTAAAAGATTGTGTAATATTATTTTATTTTTAATACATATAGGCATAAAGGTTTATAAATGTAAAGCTTTATTATATTTTATATTATACAATAATATATGTTTAAAGAAAAAAAATTAAACTCGATGTTAATTTTGAAGTTAAAATAAAATTTGTAGCTTGAATTACTTGCATCTATGATTGACTTTTACTCATTTTGAAGTTGTAAATAAATACGATGATTTTTGTATTTGTATCATATAAATATTAAAATTTATATATTTGTATTATATTTTATATAAAAATTATGTATGATAATTTATGTCAATATAAAAATATAAAATATATTTTTTTAATTTTACTAAATACATTTATAATTATTGTTATAATTTTAAATCGTATTACTTTTGTATCTTATTTTTGTATTGTATTTACGTCATATTACTATATTATATTTTAGATTATCATATCTAGCTGTAACAAAAAGTAAGTGGGAAAGAATAAAAAATAATTACACTTGCACATGGATGCTTGCATTTGGTGTCTTACATGTTGAGATGTGATTTTTGAGAATGTGATGGTTGAGAATTAAATTGTTGAGAGGATAAGATTATAATATTTAATATAGATGAAATTTTGTTGATTAAAATTCTCATTTTCTTCTAAAAAAATTCATGTTATTATTTTTGGTGAGAACATGATATCCATGAAAAAAAAATTGTATTTTCAGGAATGTAAATAACAAACATGAAAATTTACTTTCCACCAATAAAAATTAAAAGATATGAGTGCATCCCATTATACCAAACCTCAACAAGCAGGAAAAATATAAGATTATTCTCATAAATCTAATTGGCATATATCATATATGTTTATTTTATGGTTTGGGAATATATAGTATAAGATTATATAAATGGAAATATTTTTGCATAGAAGAAAAGAATCTGTATGACTCATATCTATATATTAATAAAGTCAGAATTTTATTGATTTTAAGGGAAAAAGAAAAAGAGAAGGAAAAAAATATATATATATATTCTAAAGTTTATCTCCGATGATTAGCAAAAATGGCCGGAATCTGGCTATCTTGTTCATCATCTTCGTCATCATGGCATGGCCTGGAGAGCTGAAGACGGTCCATGCTTTGAGAAGAATTAGGTGCAGTAGTTTCGGCCACAAGGTCAAAATTGTGGGTGAAGTTGCTTATGTTTATGAGGTTATTGGAAGCTGAGGAATTGTTTGAGTATGATGGCTGTAGCAATGCAATATGTTGTTCATGATGTTGTTGTTGCTGCTGCTGTTGCTGTGAGCTTTGAAGGGCATTTGCCATGACAAATCGACTGTTAATCAGTTGGTTTTGCACCATTGCTAGCTCGGCTTGTAGAGATGCTACCTGCAAAAAACATTACAATAATTTTCTATCAACTTTAAGCATGAATTACCTCATTCCTATTCACTTCAACTATCAAGAACAACCCATAAATGGAATCAAATCTGACCAACAAAAGAAAGGAAGACATTAGATACGGTAGTGCTTGTGTGTTAATTAACCTGTTGTTGTAAGGAAAGTATGGTTGAGACACAACCATAAACAGGGTCCGATAGTCTGGCCTGAGCTTCATATGATATGGTGACCACAGCATCATGTCTCCGGTTCATCGGAATGTGCAGCAAGAGCTTTGAAACGTTACTAGCACCGAAAACCTTGTGCACGGCAGCAAACCTGGCTGCACCCTGGTCTGAGCCAAAGTGGGGTGCAAAAATGCACCCACTAATACACTTCCTTCTCAAGAACTTGCATGCCCCACATGGGGATGCTGGGACTGGGGCAAGTTCTGCCACCCCCGGCTCAGCCTCAACCGGCATGGTGGCCCGCTTGCCAGTGCCCTTCCTACGAGTTTCAGACACGCCATGGCATTGTGGCTCAGCCATTTCAGGATATTATAGGTTCAAAGAAAGCAAATGAGAAAGGTGGTGATTTTGGTTGCTTATATGTGAATAAAATGGAATAGGAGGGCACGTTTGTCTCGTGAATGGGGTTGCCAAGAGAAATGTGGTAAGCTTCCTTTTCTGTCTTTCTTTTTTCTGTTGGGTTCAAAAAAAAACTTTATAATATAAAAATCAAATACAGAAAGAGAGCGGGGGCGTTATCGTTGTGGGGAAGGGAGGGAGTGAAATGAGAAGAGGCTGAGTGGTGTGAGGAGCACGTGCAAAGGGAGTGGCTTCGTTTGAGTCTTTGAGATAATGGGATTTGAGGATTCGTTTAAATTAGTAGTTTAACCAAGGTGTTAGATATGAGATAATATAAAATGGTAAAACAACATGAAAAAAAAAAAAAATTTCATGTATACCTGTTAATTTTAAACATCATACAGTGATATGATATAAAAAAATATGATTTAAAATTTTAAAATTTTAATAAAAATTTATATAAATTTAATATAAAAAACTGTTTTACATTTAATATATCAATATGAATTATTATAAGATAATTTTCATATTTTACATTTGTTATATAAAAAATAGATAAACACGTATACATGAATTGCTATGTCCAATTTCACGTGTGGGAGTTGAGGAGGGGTTGTGTTTATGGGAAGGCACAAGATTTGTGCTACCCGTGGCGTGTGGGATTAGTAGCTAGCTACCAAACTTGCATGGTTGTCATGCCAAAATGCCATGAATGAAGTTTCAGCTTCTAGTCCGTTCTTGTTGTAATGATGTGTATAATACCATAACTTGCCATTACTGGATTTAGTATATATTTGACAGTTTTTCATTACAAAACAAAATAAAACTCTTTGTCCAAATGGAACCGAACATAGTTTTCCTAGCTAGTTAACTTGTACCATCCACCTAAGCTACAACAAATCTAACATCTTGAACAGACAAGACAAACCGTAGTTGCATTTGAGAAAAGGAGGAGAGAACTGGAGCATATTTTCTGAGACAAACGAATTTGTACAAGAATCAAGACCGTAAATCGTCAACAGATGGAGAACAAAAACACATATTGTTGCTCATCATGTCCAATTAGCAAGCTAGGTAATTTGTGCTTCCAGAAGGAATGAAACTTCAATTTTGACTAAGGGTCCATTTTTCATGAACGATAAAAACGACTCCAATGAGATTAAAAACAATGGTGTCGCTGAAATTAATTATTATAACAATGAGGTTGAATCTTGTAGTAATAACATTAATATCAGTGATGGGGATATGTATTTGGATATAAATAACAGTGAGATTAGATATCACACTTAACTGCCATAATTGAAAAATGTCTTATATTTGAATTTTACACCAAGACAGTCAAGTGTCTAAAGTTTAGACCCTTCCCCTTCCCACCTCTAACTGGGGAGGCAGTGAAGTTGAAAACCTTCAACTGCATAATTGGGGTGCTAATGCTATCCAAATGCACCCCACAATGCAGTTGGAGGTGAAAAGGGGCTTGGATTTGAACGCAACGAGGGGTTAGATGGAATCCTGGATTTCTAACATGTAGATATTGAAAAGTTCTACTTGCAGTGCTCTGTGTACCAAAAAGCAAAGGTTCTCTAGCATCGTTCTCTTGAAAAGAAACAACAGAAAATTAGCCTCAAATTGCGCTTGCTTGATTGCCTTAAATCTCATGGCTATACATTTGGTTGGGACAATTAATTTACAATTTTATGAGCATCACCAGTCAATCGTGGAGCAATGCTTTCGGTTAATGAGAGCTTAGGTATTTTTCAAGTATGTTCTGAAGGTAAAGTTCCAAAACAACAAGAGCTGCTACAGAAACATTTCAAGCCCTTAGGCCTGACTCTAATTTCGCCATAGCTAAAAGTGAGCTCCTTATCTTCTTTTATGTCTTTTGAAGCAAAGAAACATAGATGAGGCAACAAAGCTCCTGACCTTCTCCCAAGTACTGTTGATAAATTACCACCATCACAAGAATGGTTAATGAAGCGAGCAACATTTCCAGCTCTTGTGGCATCTATATTAATCCTCAAGCATGCCTTCCCAGATGGAAGATGTTCTCTCACAACTAGCAGAGCAGAAGAAAAGTGGCTGTCTGAAGCAAGTTCATCATAGATTTGTTGCCTCCTCCTAGCTTCTTTTGTTGTTAAAAGCTCACCTATCCAAGCAAATTGCAAACAGAACAGCATTTAAGGACTAATCTCCAGAGATAAGAATCATGAACCAGCTCTGCACAAATGAGGAATAACAGAAGCAATAATTTCCATCCAAAATATGTCCCCAAGCAATGTCTTCCAGACAGTGTGTTCTACTTTGGGGACACTGAATGATGTGCACAAAGTATGAAACCGAACAGGGATGATGGAGAGGAGGTGGGGGGAAATCATGATTAAAGCCTTAACATCTTGTGTCCAATGAGGTTTACAAAAGTTTTTTGAATGATGTAAAAGTTTAACACCAACATTAATTCAATAAGACCGACGTCGCTTTGTATTTATCATGGGAAAGACACATTAAGAACTTACAACAGTAAGAACCACAAAGCAAGGACAAGAAGATGGCAACAACCTGAAAGCAGAAAGGGGATGATGCAAGAAAAACCATCAGTCTGATCAATAAAGAGTGACGCCCCCCATTTGGCAAAAGATGCCAAGTTGTTACACATTGGTGACATGAAGCAAAATAGCATGGAGGAAAACAGAGGAGAAACACAAAAAGCTACATGGATTGCTAGAGGAGAAGTATTATCTAGCTTGCATCATTAATTAGTGATGGTGATGTCACTATATTATGCGCATGCATATCTTCAAAGTTCAAAACTTATTTCCTTTTTCCTGTGCTTTCTCCAAGTCATCATATCTTCACAAGAGAAATATTATCTAGCCTAAGTCTAGATCTGGCAATTCATGTATATGTGTTTGTTTATTTCATTTCAAACACGCGTAAAATATAAAAATTCCTGAATCAAATTCATGTGACTTGTCCAACACAACACTTTTTTTTTTTTGCCAAACCCATACATGATTTTTGCTAAAATTTTAAATAGTGATGCTTTCATTTTTTCGTAACGTTTTCATATCCTATCACATTTTCTTGTTTAAAATGGTCAGGCTGACCAGAGTCGTACTTCTCATTTCTTAAACCCAGTGCCATCTTTTAAGAATCATCAATTAGTTTAACCAAGAATAACCAACACAACAATTGGCAAATCTGCTGAGAATGCAACTAAATTCACCTAAGATACTATAAAAAGAAATCCTCGCAACATTTTCGTATTAAATGATTCATTTGGAGTAAAAGAAAAAATACATATAACTAAGGAACAAAGAAAGCTAAAATTTGAAAATAACTAGTAAGTACCTGCATACTCACAGACGAATTGCCCCCGCTGAATCCATTGAGCAGCATATAAGCCCCATCCTTTTCTTACATCTCTTACAATCTTCAACTTAACTGTATGCCTCTCTGGCTCAGTCGATTCCCACACTGCAACCCGCAGCCGCAACTCGGTCCGCATTCACTCATTATCCCCATCCCCTCGTACCACTCCAACTCCATGCAAGGACATCCAATCACATTATCTTCACTCACCTTTTCACACCTCTCGCACTCACACCCCGACTCGTCCACTACACCCACCCAACTTGCTCCAAGTCGAGTCATCGAGTCATCAGCACAACCCATTTCAGCATCCGGCAAGCTCGACCCAGAAGGTACCTGACTCTGCGACGACTTGGGTCCCCAGATTGGCGCTTTAAAGAAGGAAAAGAAGAAGAAGAAGAAGAGGGGATGATTTGAGAAGGGGTGTAGATGAAGTAGGCATAAGGGTATTGATCGACCGTGTTGTGAAATGGGATGGAAGGTTTTCAAACGATCTGGAAGCGTCGAGGGAGCGGTGGAGAGTGATGGAAAGGGAAAGTTGGTGAAGGGTTTTGCAGGTGAGGGAGATTGTAGCAAGTTCTTGAGGGGTTAGCCATGGAAGGACCAGGACTGCGCATTGAAAGAAAGGGTGGTTGAAGCCTCGGCTTCCTGGGTCTAGCTCGTTTTGATGGGATTTTTTGGGTGGTGGTGGTGGCGACGGCGGCAACATGGAGAAGGATCTGGTTGGGTTTGGATTAGAAATTTAGAGCTGCTAGTTTCGAGACGAGCTTATCATAAGACATGGCTACAATTGGATATAATGTCTTTCGACCTCAATTTCATTTTCTTTTATTTGAGCCCAAAAACAATCAATCTCAAAAGTTTAAGGAGGAATTAAGAAAAATAGGTTAAAAGGTCTTTCTATTTTGATTTAATTCAATATTCATTTAAGTCTTTAAAATTTTACTTATAATAATAAAAACCCTTACTTTTTTATTTTAATTTACTTGGACTCTTAAATGAATTAAAATCTAATCATATGACAAAATTTAATCAATTAATCTTTTAATTACAATCAATTGAATTCTTAAAAGATCTTATTTCAAAAAAAAATTCTTAAAGAGAAAAGAACAAAAAAATTTATTTTATTTATTATTTATATATATCTATCTATTGCATAATGTGATAAACTTTTATTTTGTTATTGATATCACATAAATCAAGTTAAATCAATTTAAATTTTGCATCAAAGTTGTTATCTAATCTAAATTAATTTGCACTATAAAAATAAAGTAAAAAGGAAGTATCAAACAACATAGTAGAAATTAAGAAAAAATTGTAATAATTAAGTTGAAAATAATCAATATTAAGTACAATCATGAATTACAACAAGAAAAGGGAGAATTAAAGAACTTATAATGCACAACCACATATTTTGGATACTTATTAAAAAATTACTTTGGTTCACATCTGTAATTTTGAATACTATACAAACATCAATCTAAAAATAAATCAAATAAATTTAAATAAATAATTAATTAATTAAAACAGTATGTACAAGCCACAACGAATGGAGAGGACCATTATGATACCTAGTGACAAATCTCTTTGGA